TGAACATGAGAATGACAATTTAAGTACTGGAATAACTTCCATTTCACAGTGGATGTAGTAGACATTATGTACTAAGAGTAACATACTGTATATTTGTCGGTTACGGGAAGTTTGTGACACCTAAGATTACAAATGGATTGACAAATTAGCATTTAATCCATGTATTATAAAACATAAAAACGTATTTAAAGTAAATAAATAAGAAAAGACCATTATTCTGTTAATTATAAATAAATTTCTAAATGAATTTGATGTTTGACAAAAAATGTAAATTCATACATTTAATTCTTCAGCTCATTAGTGTCAGTTGATAATAGTTTTACATACAGTTGACTTTGCAGCTTGGCCAATCAGAGGTCGTACTGCTGCTCTGTGAGGTGGGAACTTGATTTAATGATCATTACAACCTTTAATAAGAAAAGCATCTAGACTATCAAATTATACTTTTTTAACTATGAGTTTGAAAAATTGAATTATTCACACTCCAGATCTATGATGATCGGTTGTGTTTTTTTAAGGTTATTAAGTTAATGAGATGACTTGAGGCTGCACAAGCAGAAGTCAGAGGACGTGGTCATGTGCAAGTCTACTGAGATGAGTCACATTCAACATGTGAATGAGAGGTTTTAATGGGCCTGATGCTTGATCGTTTGTGTGTTAGCAGGTGGTGCTGATGTGAACTAACAGTGTGTACAGTTTGAGTGAATCACCAGACTGGTTTGACACAGAAACTGTTCATGTGTCAGTGTGAACATATTACTGCACCTGTGTTCAATGTAATATTTAGGAGTGGATGACCTAGATCGTCTATTCAGCAGCTGGAGCTGCGGCAGGACACCTCCACTGTTCACAAGTGGGACTCAGTTCATCACCATCAGGGCTGGTGCTTGGTGACCCCATTCTGGGCCCCGCCTTTTACAGACGTACTACCTGTTCAATGACTTTTGTGGTAGATATGATGAAAACAACAATAAAGTCATTAATGTTGATGTCAGTGTCAAATTAATTCTACAAGTCTAAACATAGATTGGACAAAGACTGTCTCTTACAACACAGGGCGACTCAAATATTAAGTCATACTGCAGGGCCTTAGATTAGTGAAACATGGGTCTTTTGGTGGGACACCCCTAGAGTCTGGACTCTGAGGCGTGCTGGTGAGATTTGGAAAACAAGTTTATATGTTCATAACTGAACTATATTATCACTTTCTTTATATTCTAACAAAAAACCCCCACAAAAGTCTCATGAAGCACCAGGTATTGAAGAAGGGAACTATCTTGAAATTGTTCTTACCAAGAAATTTTTCTTCATGCTTGAAATCTAGATCCACTTTTTCACGTTGTTTTAAAAGATGACACTTGCGAGTCACAGGAGTGCCATTAAAAAGAAGCCTTTGATTGTACTTTCATCACTTTTAATACAACTTTCATCATGACCACATGTGGGCACAAGTTGAAACGGGCACACTAGGTAACCATGAAAACAATATGCCTCTAATTCTCTCCATGTCCTTCTCCATCGAGTCACAAGATGAGAGGTATTTCAATCTTTATTGAAACAGAGCTCTGATATTGTACAAATTACGCAATAAAAAAAAAGGTTTTCATTCAAGCAATGGCTTCAGTTACATGTATACGACCACATTAACTGGAAATCTGTGATATAAGGTGAAGTACACTGAACACAACTCTCAGGTGTCTGGTTCCTGTTAGGGGAGAAGACAGAACAACAACAAGATAGCCAAGCCATGATCCACAGTGAGTCGGGGGGTTGGTGGGGTGGGTGGGGGTGGGTGGGGTGGGGGGTGGGGGGTGGGGGTGGGTGTGGTTGCATTGAGAGTGTGATGTAAAACAAATGACCAACAGTGGATTAGAGTGTTAGTCAGACTGACAGGAGAGACAACATCCAGCAGTAGCTGGGCATGACAGGGTTGCTTTGATATTGACGTAAATTACCTCTCAATGAAATTCAAGAAAAGCAGTTCTGAATCGTACATAATCATTTACTCATTTCTTCCACTTCAGGAAGATCATTCTAACTACACAAAATATTACAGTGAGGACAGGAGGAGGAGCTGAGGTGAGTCTGAGCTAAAGGTGTTGTAAACATCTGTATCAGTGTAAACCTAGTTCCACCAATGCAGCAGATTATACAGAGAAGAAACAGTTGAGCTGTGTCGCTGACACAATCCAATACTTTTCAAACATCATTAATGAGAGGGAAACAGCCACACACCAAGCTGCTTCTCTGAGATCTGCAGCTCTGTTTCTACTGAGGAATGCTGTGTGTTGGAAAAAGAAACGATGGCTCAAAAGGAAAAGTGAACGTATGTAAAAACATGAAGCGTACGAACAATTTGAAAACAAAGGATTCTGTTTAATGACTCAGTCTCCAGTTCAACACACAACTCCAAGATTTTTTCTTCTTTGAGCATTTGGTTTTGATGAAAATAAAAGCTGTAGTCCACTGTGAAACAACCAAGAAAGGATTTAGTTTTTTTTCACATTCGTTTTCTGCCACAGTCACTTCACTCAGGCTGGACTAATTATCAATACTTGTATCCGAACAAAGACACAGATCTCAGGTCAGAACGCGGTTTTCACTGCGACTCTGCTGCTTTAACATGAGACCTATACTTCCCTTTAAACCAGACATCGCTCAGCAAACACATGGGCTACAGAAAAACAGATAAACATTTTTATCTAATGTCAATATCATATATATTCACTTTTTATTTGAGAGGGGGGCTCATCACGTCCACATACACTTGGATCACGATACGATACTGGAGTATTAAATCAAAAATATAAATATAGCGCAAGCAAATTCTACCTGACTACCTGTCAGTTTCAAGGCACAGCGGTGTAAAGAGCTGAAATTAAAGATGACAGAATATAACAAATATACCTCATGTAGTCAAAATGAAAGTCTCCAGACATTAACATTCACTCACATGTGTCTAATCTAGGACGGTGTTATTTGATTCCAACCTGTATAATAAACTCATGTTTTTCACATTTATTGATTGTAATGTGTTGTACCTGTTGAGGATTGTGAGTCTCCATTGATCCTCTGTGACAGACATGAATCTACAAATGACAGTAAAAACCCAGGCTGAAAACTATTACATGATCCAATGCGCTCACGTCCGACGACCTCGCGCTTCACCCCTGCTTTATCCACCTAACAGCCCCACCCCCACCCCCTTCACCGGACATGGACATACCGCTGCTCGAACACACATCACACCATGAACACAGGGACACTTTCATCGACCAACTTAATCCCCATCCAAAAGAAGGTCACCTGCGCGAACTGTGAACACTTTGTGGGACAATCTACGATTAATTACACTCAACTGACTCTCAGACATACCTACGTTACTTGTTATATTAATAATAACCTATGATACTTCGATCACTCCATGGGACAAAGGATTTTATACGAGATCACATACGACTTCCTGTTTCATTCCATCACATGTCAAAACAAAGACGTATGGGTAGAAATTTAACACCAATGCCACAGCAAGCAGAGCGTTGACAACCAATTTTCACTAGTACCAATTTTCAGGCGAGGACCGATACATTGGCACTAGATGCTGTAAACACGATTAGCCGACAAGCATGTAGATCGACTCGCGCACTCTCCGGGCCGCCGCGCGCAGTCTGAAACTTACTCAGCGATCGATGATATAGTATGAGAAAGGCCACATCTACAAGTCAGCGGCACATAACGACTCTTACATTCACATCTACTAGTCTTTCGCGTGGTCGCATCTCAATGCATGCACGACAGGTGTGCTCTCGACTCTAACTAAGTGTGTTTTATTCATTCAGGCAGTCACACAAAACACACACACATACCACAGGACTATACAAACATGCAAATACCAACAGACACACCCTACACACACACACACACACACACACACACACACACACACACACACACACACACACACACACACACAATCACTGTCTCCTGTGGGATTTCTCCAGACCTCTGTTCTGTGATGGAGGTGTGGCATCATCACGTCAAAACAGACCTGATGCTTCTCTTGGGGGCGGGACAAACGGTCTGTATCAGGACTCGCACAAGGCCTCGCTGTAAACAACGCCACAGAAAACAATCATTCCACTTCAGCCTCCACACTGCAGGACGAATTGCTTCATTTGCTTCTCCATTATCTTCACAGTCTTCAGGTGAGCACAGGTGACCCTCGGTGATGTAGCAGCTCCAGGTTGAGACACGTCTGCAGAGACACAGGAAAACAACAACCATCAAACAAACAGTCCTTAGCAACAGGTTGTTCAAACTGCTCAAGGGTCACATCTGTGACAGATGAAACTAAATCAGGAAGTGGTGGAGGAGTATTCTGATTACAGGCCTTTATGTACAACCTGGTTACTACAGTGCATGTGAGCGCGCTGACTGCTGAAATGTGTAACCTGCTTTCACTGAGTTACTTGGTTTCTTATGCGACAGTTGTCGGGTTGTGACGGCTGCCGTTTGGTTTAGAGTGACTCACCTTCGACCTTTTCTCTACCACCAACATCAGACCAGTTTCCATATGTCTCAGGAGGATTTTCATGATGTTACAGTTCAAAATTTTATTATTCTGCTGAAATAAATCCTCCATGTCTCATGATCACATCAGTACCTTCAAACAGCAACTCTGACAAGATGGTTTCTCTGGAATGTGTTTCCACATCAGGAAACTTGTGTGTATGTGTCAGTAAACACTAGTTCCTGTTACATAGCCTGTTCAAGGCAGGAACGTTGTGCCTTTATTCCACCCCATCATTCTGTAGAAATGGCTTTTAACCTGGCAGTGGAGGTTGGCACAGAGCCGGATTGACGTCTGTGTAAAAGTGAGTGACTCAATGGAAACTCTGCTGGACTGAGCACATTCTCCACAGACAGAGGACAGAGCTGTTATAGAGTTCAGTGACTTGAACCATCCTTCAGTTACTGCTTCTCAGCCTCTAAGAGAAGAGCAGCAGAGTGAAGTGCTTCACTCATTTACTCTGAGCTCTAACACTGTCTCCTGACTCATTCTTATTCTGCTGCACAACATCTGGCAGCAGCTGTGTTACAAGAGGAGACACTGAAGCTCTGTCACAGCCAGCTGCTTCACACAGCCAGAGTCTGAAACAGTCTTACTGTGCTGTGAGGAGGAGAATCTGCACTAGCCTGTAAACACAGAGATGCTGAGTCAGTGCATTAACACCACACTGCTGCACCAAACAGCAGTGCCCACTGCAGTGCCCTGCCTGCTACACACACACAGCAACTGACAACAGGCTGCACACAGAGAGAAACAGATCCAACACAGCAGCAGAGAGAAAATCTCCAGATTCTACAGAACCTATAAAGGAGGGTGTAACTATAGCAACAGTGAGTACAGCTGACATGATGAAAACCACTGAGGCATTTATTAAAGGGGTGAGGTGTGGAGGGTTTCACTGAGGCCACAGGCCGACACTGTAGCTGGTTGTGCTGAGTCGTCCGGCACCAATAGTCCTTTGTTAGACCTGACCTGCAGCATGTGGGGGGCTGTGTGTGAGTGCAGCTCGTCACACACAATGTGTGTCATAGATTCTCCTAATGTTACATAACTGACTTAAAGGCAGGCAGGGATTTAGAGCTTTACCCTGCAGCCTATAGAGACAACATGTTTTAAGGGACAGTGCTGACTCATCACGTCATGCAGCATCAGAATCTGGACAGCAGAGGTCTGGATTCACCCACAGGAATACAACACAACACTCTGCTGCTGATAACAGGGCTCTTTTACTGAGCTAATGTGCTCTGAACTCCTGCTGCCTTACACACAGTTTAAATGGTCCTTCATGTTATAAAGGAGGAGTCACCTCTTCTCTACCTTTTACACCAGTGTGTATGAACAGGCTTTTTAACCTTTTTTTTTTTTTTTTGCTACATTTCCTCCTGCTGTTCACACTTCTCAAAAAACAGACTTTTGGAAATGCTGCTGGCCCTGTTTTATTTTGAAAACTATGAGGTTGTGTTTCATTTTGAAAACTATGAGGTTGTGTTTCATTTTGAAAACTCTGAGTTGTCTTTTATTTTGAAAACTCTGGGTTGTCTTTTATTTTGAAAGCTCTGGGTTGTCTTTTATTTTGAAAGCTCTGGGTTGTGTTGTAGTCTGGACAGACAGGAACTGAGACCTTTGGAAATGATGATGTAGACACCCACGGTCGGACCTGATTGCCTCTCATCTGCCTCAACTACCAGTAGCGCTGCACTATTAATCAAAATGTAATCGAAATTGCAACATGGCCAAGTGCAATATCCAAATCACAGGAGCTACAAAAACCTTTTTTGATAAAAGGTAAAATGTGTCACATTGTTGTGTATTGTTAGCACCATAAGTGTTGTGGTGCTAACGACGCCCCAGCCTACAAATCATATTCTCCAGACGTAAAGGAAAAATGTTTGTTTGGGACAAGACCAACAAAAAGCACATCAATATTTTTATTCTTTTTTCAGTGAAAATTAAATGCATTTAAACTGAAATCGCACATCGCAATATCAGCCAAAATAATCGTAACATGCGCAACCCTAACTACGAGTGGTGAATACAACATGATAATGAATTACAGTGTTACTGACCTTGTCTTTTGTTCAGTTACATTCTATACTCTAACAATACAACTGTCTTTACTGTGCCATGTTAGTAGTATTTTTTGCAACTAATCAACTGCAATGAAGACAATCTGCTTCCTGTTTACACTGGCTCGCACATGCTCAGTGTAGGTGGTTGATGAGGTATGTGTTTTCGGGTGTGTTAGTCTGGATGGAGATAGTTTTCGTTTGAAAACCGTCATTTTAAAATGAAAAGGTAGTAACATGGACGTAGCCTGACTAATTTAACCTCAGTGGACTGACTGACCTGCTCTGACTCTGCAGAAAGAAGAGTGACGGTCTGTTGGTCTGTCTGCAGCTCCCACCCCGCTCATGTGCACTGTCACCATCCCCCTACAAGAGGAAGGCTCATGAAGGCAGAACAATCAAGGGCTAAAGGTCTGACACAGTCCTCACACATCACAGAGGGCAACCCAGAGAACCATCATACACCATCATGTAGAAAGCTATAGGAAGAGCCACTACCTGCTCACTCAGTCTCTTCAACACACAGGCTTCTGTGCACTGACAGATCTATGGCCCCAGGGGCGGTGGGGGCTTTGGTTGCATAAGGGGTGTCCTAGTTATCTGCAGCACAACAAACACTCACACACTGACAACACGAGAACACACACCAGTCACTGCAATTACTAAATATGTGCCCTGGGCGACACACAACGACCCCACCCTCACTCTATAACATTCACTTACACACATAAACACACACACTCCATGGAACAGGAACATGCCACAACAGCTCACACTGCAAATGTGACTGACTGACACCTGAACACACAGCCGAACGCAGCTGAATGCACTGAGGCTCTGACAAGGACTCAGAGCAGTGAATCTCCTGATTATTATTACAGTATAACATGATCCAGATCATTAACCTGGTTTTCTTTCATTTGACATAGTTTGGAGTTTTTGCCCTTTTGTCCACAGGTTCCATCACACCACAGAGGTCAGTATGTAGATGCACAGGAGCGTGTCAGTGTCGCACAGATATAAAAAACCATGTTGATGAGAGATTCTCAGTCTGTGAAAAAAGTTGTGAATTTACAAATTTTTGGATGAGAACCTGCCGATGAGAACCTGACTGTGAGTCCCAGTTTGACTGAGTCATGTCTCCGAGGAGAGTAGACAATCTACTTCCTGTTTACACCAGTTCGCACATGCTCAGTGTAGGTGAATGGTCATGCGATGTGTTTTCAGGTGTGTTAGTGTGGATGGAGATAATTTGTGGTAAAGAGCTGAAATACTTGTCTGGACGGAGATCAAGTTAGTTTTAAAATGAAAAGTATTATTGTTCACGTAGTCTCAAAGGACCAAGTTAAAATACGAGCTTGTCAACATGTTGTCCAATGACACCAGAAATCAAGTGTTTACAGTTGTTTTGAACAGCCACAATCAAGACTTGCTCATCAATTAAAACTGGGGAAAACTGCACTCATTTTCTGAAGGTCTCTATAGGAGACTGCTACAGTCTTGAAGTGGGTGTGGTCACAGAAATGGTCAAAGGTCACAGAGCAGGGTTGAATAACATATGCTGACCCATTCAGGTCAACCATAGACCAGGGTCAGCCCCCCACACTGTGCCAGCCTGCAGCTGGAATGTCACAGACCACATTCTGCTCTGTAGGAGGGACTCGATTGAGAAGAGGCTGTGCATCACAGTGACCTGCTGAGTGTCTCATCCACATGTTTATGTCTCACCTGGACCACATCACAGGATGACAGAGCAAAATCAACAGCAGCTGAATCACAGAGCAGCAAAGTGATCCTGAGATCAGTCCTGAAACCTGACACAAGCTGAATAATGATGACTGTCTCTCTGAGGCTGAAACCTACAGATATATACACTAATTATACACACTGCACAGTGAGCAAAGTTAAGTTAAGGCATGACTTGTTGAACTCTCATTATCTGAGCTCTCCAGGACTGCTATAGATTTTACAAAGCAATTAAAAAGGGATAGTTGGGTTTATTTCATGTGGGGCTGTATGAGGTAGTCATGCATAGTGGGTGTGTTACCTGCAGTAGATTCAGATCAGCGCTCCCAGTTAGGAGAGACGGCTGGGAGCATCAGCACACCAGCAGAGCTATGTGCTGCTGTGCACGTGGCCAGCAGAAAAACGTGACACTTTTAGAAAATGGCCATCGAAACAATGCAATATTACTAAATGTACGCTTCATGTAGAAAACAGCACTTTCCTTTAGTACATTTTTTCAACTGCTGCAAGCACTGTATTACGCCACAGGTCAGCTGAGTGATTTAGAAAGCGGTGTTATACAGTGTGCGATGTAGGTGTGCTTGTGCATAGGAATATGGTAGTTCAGCGGTTGAAAAAATGTAGTACCAAAGGAAAGTGCTGTTTTCTACATGAAGCGTACATTTAAATGGATATTGGATTGTTTCAGTGGCTGTCTAAAACACATTTTTTTTACCTCCCCCCTTGCACAGCAGCACATAGCTCTGCTGGTGTGCCGGTGTTTCCTGCTTCATCTCCTAACTGGGAGCGCTGATCTGAATCTCATATCAAATAACACCAACTATCACTTTAAAGCTTCACAGTCCTGTGTTAAAACAAGCATTTATGTGTATATGTGCTGTTTGATGAGAAAACAACTGATAAAATCATCTGTAAGAGGGAAAGACTCCCAGCTGACATGTGAACACAGTCACTGTACAGGCAGTATTAACACATTAAACTGTACCAGTGCTTCAGAGACTAGGCAGATATCCCAACAGTCAGGGCTCATTATTTAAAGACACAGGTACCTGTAAAACAGTGCAGTCCAGGGTCACGCAGCACACATAACCTGGTCCATTCTGGCCTGCAGCTCAAAGGCGTCGGGCCGATCCTGAGGGTTAACGGCAAGCATGTCTTGAAGCAGCTTCCTCACGCCGTCAGACATGCATGATCTGCGTTTCTGTGGGATGCTCAGCACCATCTTTGGGTTCTCTAGTAGTGCCTCACCTACCGGCACAATGTCTGCTCCCTGTCTCACGTATGTCCCCAGCAGCTCCCGCTTAGACTCTGCGTCGATAAAAGTGATCCTCTCCAGCATGGCCCAGATGATGATGCCCAGGGCGAATATGTCTGCCTTGGCGGTGTAGTGGCCCTCCCACACTTCAGGGGCCATGTAGAAGTCTGAACCACACGCTGACGACAACCAGAACTTGTTGACGTTGACGTTTTTGTTCTTATCTTCCCCATCTTTGCCATCGCTGGCGTTACCCAAACCAGCACAGACCTTACTCAAGCCGAAGTCGGCCACCTTGAGGACCGGAGTCCCCGACTTCTCTGAGATGAGGATGTTGTCTGGCTTCAGGTCTCTGTGGACGATGTTGTTCTCATGCAGGAAAGCAACTGCGCTGGTCAGCTGGAGCATGAAGCTGTTGTTGGTTCGTGGGTCGGGTCGCCGAGACAGGATGAACTGGTTGAGGTCTCCACCTTCACAGAACTCCATGACAAACCAGAGGTAACACGGCTCCTCTGGAGGACTTAGCACCCTCTCACCTGGAAAAGACACATACCAGTCACTCACACAGTCATGCAGTGTAACACAACACCACATATTTCACTAAAAGCAGAACATGTTTTGATGATGATTTGGACGCGTCACTGAAAACATACATGAGAACACCAGCTACAGAAGAAGCACTCGACAACCCTTTGCACAGGTACCACTCCAGTCCCACTGGACATGTCCTGCCTGGTTCTGTGTGGACGGTGTCTGAGTTACAAGACAGCTTCTCTAATGTGTTATTATAGGTTTCCAACAACAACAATATGTGAAGCAGGAGTTAAAAGTTCATCAGTAATGACTGACAGTGAGACAAATTATTCACAGACTGGCTATGCTGCACACAGGCCAGTGACTGAGGAGCAGATTTCAGGTATCAAGGTGTAACTGCAGCTACCTGGACACTGATCAGCAACAACGACAGCAGGGGTCCAATCTGCTAAACCTTTTCATTGGTCACACCTGTCCTCTGATTGGCTGTGACCCTGATACTCTTCTTCACTGAATGTGGGATGGGGAAAAAAATAAGACATGTGTGACACTGCGCCCTGGACTCCTCCTCGAATAACATCACAACCTTAAAAAACACAGATGAATTAAAATGAAGAGAACTATTGATTGTTGTTTCGACAAGTAAAATGCTCTGGTCTATACCCCTGAAAAGGCCCCACCCAGACCTGACATCATTGGTGGAGGTAACCGCTCCACCTCCTGATCAGTGATGGAAGAAATATTCAGATCCTTAACTTCAGTAAAAATACCAACAGAACAATGTGAAAACACTCCATTAGACAGTATAACTGACTGGTGTATTATTATATTTGACATCATTAGGTTTGAAAGATTAGATTTGAACATTTGTTGATATGAGACCACATGAGAAGTTTAGAGGAAAAATCAATGTGTTTTGAAGCTGTTAGTTCAGATATCTGAACTGTGACCTGACTGACCACACTCTGATGTTTGTAAGACACCAGGAGCCAGAAGAGGCTGGAAACCACTGGTTTCATCTGGATTTTAAATATTTGTTACACTATTCACTGTGCAAAATCTTCATCTATAACAAGTAACTAGAGCTATCAAATAAATATAGGAGGTGGAAAGTTCAATATTTCTCTCTGAACTGTAGTGAAAGCAACATAAAATGGAAATAACCAAGTACAAATACCTCAATATTGTACTTCAGTAAATGTACTTAGTTACTGAGTAAGATACTTAATCCTGACCCAACATCTTCAGCAGAGATCGGATACAGAGTCAGAGCCTACAATATACATACGACCTAAACATGTGTCCTTATCGCAGACTGACATCGATGGCTCAGATGTGAGCAAATGATCTAAAAGGTAACACTTACAGTGTGTTATTCATTCAGTCAAACCTTCATTTATACAGGAAACACCACTGAGTGCACTCAGGTGATCAGTGTCCTTACAAGGACACTGATCACCATACAAATACACAATACCAGAAACAATAACTCAAAAATGTAAAAACAACTGAACAGATAAGCAATATCAAGTTTAAGAACAATAAAAGCACACTAACATGGGACATATTGTGTGTGGAGAAAAGGTTAGTGTGGACAGCTGAGATAAATCACTGTCCATCACACTCTGATCATAAACTAAATACAGATCATTAAAGCTGCTCTGATGAACAGATGAAGACAGCACACACTGTTGTTGACGTGGTGCAGTGACTGTGACATACACAGAAACACCTCTGGACACAGCCAACAGTCTGGACTCCATTTTAGTGAGTCTCAGCCTCGGGAGCTCCCTCACAAAATCTGCCCATCCCCCAACGAGCCAGTGTCATGGCGACAACAACAGCTCTGACTCGGGGAAATTTCATAAAACAAAGCTACACACGCTAAACCTGATATGTAAATAGCTGCTGTAGGGCCAGTGAGGATCACTTTAGATAAACACCACCGACAATAAACATTCTCATCTGGGTTACACCGAAGAACCAGTGAGCTGTAACCGATAACATAACGAAACTGATAATTGATCCACCCTGATCATCAGATATTAGAAAGAGCTCAGCACTGCCATTTATTATATGGCAAATACATTAAATACAGTCAATTAGAATCGAAATCCGAGCAACTGCCTCCTGATTTGGATAGGAAATCAGAACTACATTTAATAATCCAACTAATTATGATTGCATCTGATATATGGGACAAAAACCAAAACTCTCTGCTACAACAGCACCGTGTCTGGAGAGTGAAGGGCTGTGTCTTTACTTCGGCCACCAAAAAGCAGCAGTTAATCCTACATTACCTGTCTACTGGAGAACTAGATGGACTCACCTTTCAGTGAGGTCTCCACCAGGCGCAGGTACTGCTTGGACCGTTTGTTCCCGTGACTCATTTTCTGGGCCATACCGTTCCTCTGCAGCACACACTCCTCCAGCTGCACCACATTCTGGTGCCGCTTCTCCAAACTCGCCAGCGCCCAAAACTCCTGCAGGGCCAGCTCCACGTTTTCCGGTGCGTCGCACCGCAGCTTCTTCACGGCGACTTTAGCTCCGGATCTCCGGGCCAACGCTTCATACACCACGCCGTATGTTCCCCTTCCAACCTCCCGCAGCAGGCTGTAGCGGGGTGCCATGACCCTCCGCTCCAGGCTGCCCTGCTTGAAGAGGCCGGTGTCCTCCTCCATGTCATGGTCTTCTTCCGTGTTTCCCACGCTCAGACACCGCAGCACACTGGACTCGTCAGTTGGCGCTCTTGTTTGTCGTCTGCAGCACGCTCGCGAGCTCCTCGTGCGTCTCCGCCAGTTGTCACCTCCAACTGTATCCATACGTCCGCGTGAGCTTTCACGACTCAAACATTAGACAGAAAAGTGTCCACATGTTGTCCAGGTGACCTGGATCCCTGATCTGACGGTGAAAACGGGGAAGAAGTTGCTCAGTAATGAAGGTTTCAGAGGGGAGGAGGGTGGACGGTAGCGGGATGCTATTAACACCGATACGATGCATTACTATATTTCCGGTCGGGACCTTCAAAATAAAACATGTAAAGTTTAATGCGTTTCTTGTTGGGCAAGTTCACGTGTTCTTCTTCTTCGTTTCTATGGCAAATTGCAACCATATGGAGCATTATCGCCACCTACTGCAGAATTATAGAATCCTTATATCCTTGTTATTAATCCAGTGTCTTTGAGGTAAATAAAAATATGGTTCCAAAAACCATTCCCAGGATTATTTGTAAAGCCAGTTTGTAGATCCATGCGTTTTATCCCTTCTTGTTCCAAAGTAGTCCTAGATATGTTCCTCTCCTTTTCATATTTAGGGAAGACAAAAAACATGCATTCCACAGTCTCTTTGTGTTTACAAATGTCATAGTTTCCAGATGGGTGTTTTACAATAAGATGTAATGATGAATTCAGTTTGGTATGTCCTAATCTTATTCTATTTAGCAAGCACTGTTCTCTCCTACTTTTCCCCAAAGTCTTTTCCACTCCAACCTCCTACTGGATCTGGTACAGATGTCTTCATTTTAGCTCTACATGCCATAATTTTTGCCACTGCCTTGATTTTGTGCCAAATAAATGATTTTGTTTATATTTTACTTATTGATATATGTAACTCTACATGCTCTGCTTTTAATCTACGTTTAGCTAATTGATCCACTGTTTTATTCCCTATAATTCCTACATGAGCTGATACCCACAAAACCTAACTTGTATTCCTAACCTAATTATTCTATATAATAACTGCAATATTTCATTAATAATGTCTTGCCTACATTTTTAAGAAGTATGTTTTAAACTAGTCAGTGCTGCACTATGAACAAATTAACACTTGCATAGGTTTGTGATCCTCTACCCACTGAAGAGCTAATAAGATTGCCATCATTTCTACTGAATATGCTGTGATCACTTTGCCAACTGCACAACTTGTTTTACCATTATCTGGGTTTTTAGATCAATCCGTAATACAGATATATTGTCCATACATTTCATGAAGAACTGTGTTCACATAAGCCTGCAAATTTATTGAATGTCTTTTTGAATGTACATGATCCAAAACAGAAAAATCTATTGTCTGAGGTAGTAACCATGGTGGAACAACTGATATTAAAACAGTTGGCTGGCTAATATTCCAGTCACTGATTCCTCATTCCTTGATTATATCTAAAATACCAACACAAAAACATTCTTTTTTTATTATGGTACTTTTCCAACTTATATTTATAATTTGCTTTGTAGGGTGAGAGAATCTTTCTCCTTAGAATTAGAATCCCCTTAAATTAATAGGCATTTCCCCAACTTCTACTTGTATTGGTGACAATGGTTTTGACTTGACTGCTTGTGGAGCAGTCAATATAACCTTAATGCCTGATCCTGAATTCTCTCCAAATTTTTTGTACATGATGTACATGCTGCTGATCCAATTACTATACAACCATAGGACTGGAATCTAGGACTGTTTTAATACTAGCTATATAAATATTTCTATGAGCAACTCTACCATCTCATGATATTCAAAACTTTTTTACATTTATCCTCTATTTTGTCAATTTGATTTTTCCATGTGACCTTTTCATGCACCCATATTCCAAAGAATTTGAAAGATTTAAACTGACATCTTCTCCTACATTTTTCCTTATAAAAAGACAGTTTCTGATTTATCTACAGATAACTTAAAGTCAGAGACCAAAAGACAGTTTCTGATTTATCTACAGATAACTTAAAGTCAGAGACCAATTTTCAACTTCAATGATTGCCTCCTGGACTTTTTTCACAACATAATCTATATTCCTACCCCTTTTCCAAATAGCTCCATCATCTGCAAAAAGTAACTTACCAATATCTGAACCTACCTCATTACATATATCATTTATTGTAATAGAGAACAGAAGGGGACTAATTATACTACTTTGAGGGGTTCCATATACTTCATTGAAAAACAATTCCCAACATGAGCCCAAATAGACCGACCAAATAAAAAGTCCATAATCCACTTATATACTTTACTTCCAAAACCCATATTATCTCATTTTATTAAGAGCCCTTCCTTCCACATCATATGATAAGCCTTTTCCACGTTGAAGAAAACAGCTACAACACACTCTATTTGCCTGAGTTTTCCTGATGTCAGACTCCAGACATAAGAATGGCTCTAAAGTACTATGTTCTTTTCTAAATCCACTCTGACAAGCAGTGATTATTTCATTTTTTTCAATGTAGTATGTTGGTCTTTCTGTAAACATTATTTCCATAATCTTGCATACATGCAATGTCAAAGCTATAGGCCTATAATTAGCTGGACAAGTAGGGTCTTTCTTTTAATGGGTTCAATGACAGCCTCTTTCCACATTGCTGGAAGCTTACCTTCCCCCCAAATCCTATTATACATCTCCAATAACTTTTCCAATGCAATATCACTTAAATTCAATAACATTACATAACATATACTATCCTTACCAGGAGCAGCCAATTTGTACTTATTTAGAGCCCTTCTCAACTCATGAATGGAAAAAGGAAGATGTAAAGCACTTTGTGATACATTTAAGTTCATAATTGTTATTCATGAACATGGCATCTGTAATAAAAAAAGACACAGCTCATGTTTATGCTTTTTTGAGGAAATGATTATGCCAATATTTTACCAGCTGGCTCCAAATCAATTTAAAGGTACACTCTGTGACATAATTACAAACACAAGGGTCACCGCCCCATACCAAAATTCAATGTTACTCAGCTTCTCTGATGGTGTTCAAGAGGTTGAGAGAAGTACCTAGAATATAACAGTTTTATTTAATTAGGCTCAACTGACAAGCATAAAAGCCGGACTCTTTAAAACAGACTTCCCAATTATATGTGAATACACCTGTGACCTACAGGGTGTATTTAAAAAAAAAAAAAAACTACTGAATGGTCAACTGTAGACAAAGAGAAGTATCTGGACTTACTTCAGGCATACTCACTCTGAGCTAAGGATGTAGTTAAAATGTCTTTATTTTTGTCGGGAAATATCTAAGTAAAAATATATTATATGTGATTCCTTATACAAAATGAATGGCGAAAAGGGCTAAACCAGCATGTTACACAATAAATATACAAGTAGACTATGTAGAAAAAAAGTCACAGTAATGATTGTAATCATAACAATAGAGGAAGTAGCCATAAAAATATCCACAATATAAGCAATGCTGAGTGGCAGGACACAAATATACCATAAAAACTAATAAGGCACATTATCCTATGGCACACCACTACCATATTTGTCATGAGGGCAACCCTTTTGGAAGAGAAAGGTTTGAGGAGCAGTGTATGAGAGGAGATGATCGTCAAAATAATTGACCTCAGAGACTTATTGGATTTTTAAATTCAACCCTTTCACGAGGAAATTGATTTTTTGTAATCTGTTTCACTCCTGTCATCAGTACTTTTATTTTTGAGTCGTCATTTCCGGCCTGTTTCAGGCTCCATCTTGCTGCTTGACGCCCGTGAAGGGACGGGTTGCAGAGTTCGAATGTACCACTGTAAAAGAACACGGGGTACCAAAACACAAAGCTTGTGTGTGTTTGTGTGTGTGTTTGTGTGTGTGTGTGTGTGTGTGTGTGTGTGTCGGTGAACAAACGATCTTTGTAAACACCATCAGATACAGTGAGTAACAGCTACACGAACCTTTCCACATGTTCTGTAAATCACAGGATCAGATCTGTCAGTGACGTTACACATGAAGAACAGCTCAGTGTGAACAGCTCAATAAAATGCTGTATATGTCGCTTCAGTCATAGAAGAAAAGTGTTCGTCGTTTGCGTTCACATTTGTTCCCCCGCCACTTTCCCTCTGATGGTTTCTTCCGTTCATTTCTTATCCAGCATGGTACTTCACGTGCGCATATCCTCAGCCCCAGAGGGCACGTGTGGCAACACGCTGCCTGCAGAGTCAAGGACAAATGACGTCACACAATGCAGGCACATGAATCATTACAAAAACCAGAAACAATCTTTATTCTCTCCTGACTGGTTCCAAAGATATAAATCATGTTCTCAGTCTTTTTGATGAAAATGGTGTCATATGTCTGTTCACAGTTTCCTTTCAGAGAACTCTGCCCCTCCAGATGGATTAATGCACTTTTGAAAAGCCACTTAAAGAACACAGCATTTACTGATGCTGGATGGAATTAAACTAGACTGTAATAATAAGAATAAGAAAAATAGAAAATAAAATGGTAGTCTACTAAGTTTTTCTGTAAGTGTAAAATTGAAAACATAAACTGGAGAAGGGCTAAAAACTGGATATCAAACGAGGCTCAGGAAGTTAATTTTAAAATGCTGTGTTATATACATTATACACTGCTGGTGTTTTCAGACACTGATATCTTTTGTACCCTTTGTAAACATGATATAGAAACCTTTTCTCATAGTGTGAAATATCCCAGAAGATTTGTAAAGACCTTGTGAGGATGATAACTCTCTCTACTCCTTTAACCTTAAATATAGGCTATTATTTGTTACTGTGTTGATCCAAATGATGGTGAATGAATATTTGATTAACTTTATTATTCTATATGAAAAATTCTTTATTCACAAACAGAAATTTGCCAAATCATTTATCAATTTTCACATTTTCTCCTAGAACTGATTCTGTAGGCTATTCAAGTCAGTCGATCTATTCGAAAAACACAAAGAGTAATAACCACCTCTAACTGAATATGTTAACATTTGTGTATTCATGTACCCTAAGCCTTTTAAAAAATAAACATTTGTCTTGTTGTATTTTCATTCATTTCATGTTTCCTTTTGTACTTATGTCATTTCAGGTCATCTTATATGTGTTTCTGCTGTTTTACTTGATATATAGTAATATCCTTTGTAAATAAATAAAAATCACAATCACAAATTTGCCAAGTTGATTGAAAAAACAGCAAAACAAAAATGCATTTCTAGTGTTAAAAATTATTTATTTATTGATAAAAAATCTTCAGTCTTTATTTTCATACCTATTATAATTAAGCTACACATCACCTG